CGCTGGTTGGGTGCGGCAGTAGGAGATAGAGAGGGAGGGTAGTGGAAGAGGGTCAGTATAATTATACAGTTTGCCATTGCTAGGAAACTGAGCCCATAGCAGTTGCAGCTGCAGCTGTAAGATTTCCCGCTCTTCTCCGAACTCTGAGTGCCCAGCAGAACCCCTGGAGCAGGTGAATCTGGAGACACTGCAAAACTCCGCGTGGCAACTGATAGCCTTCATGTACAGCTGCTTTGTCCATTCTCTCTCGCTGCCTTCCAACATCTCTTAGAGTAGGCTCACATTACCTGCAGTCATGTGCCCTATTAGTGTGTATGCGGGCCCCAAACCTTATAGTTCAGTATGGTTGAATGCATCATTTCCTCCGCTCAGCTATGATTTATGAGCCAGTCAATACATGGACAGTAGGTGTAGTGTAGGTATGTTAACCTTCAGTATTAATTTTAACCCTTTCTCCACACAGGGCTTAGTATATATGTATGTATGTATGTAGCTCTGAGTCACATTCAAAGTTCTGTGTGTCAATGAGTCTTGTGGGCACATAAAACAGCTCAAAGATAGCTTTCAGTTTATGAATAAATGGTCTTTTGTCTTCCTCAAACTGGTTTCAAACGTGTCCTAAACTTTGTACGACCGGTATCTAGTTACAGGCCCGCCGTGTTGCCGTGGGCTCCGGGCGCTAATCCACAGAGTGATTGTGCCGTAATTGGATGGAATTCTCTGCATGTAAATAAACGTCAGCAGCCAATTAGCGAGGACTTTTCAATTAGCGAGGCCTTTTCATCACGTAATGCACCTTCTGTAAGCCAACAAGAGGGGATGTATGTAGTATACACCACCACTATAGTGCCAGTAAGTACTTTATACACCCTACTCAAGGTACACTGTAAAGTTGATACTGGATAATATGTGCCCTATATTGAACAGTATGCCACATCATATGCTCTATACTGTACAAGATACCACTATGTCGTGAGTGCGTACATGTAGTAAGTAACCCAATAAGGATGTTCATTTATCCACCGATGTAGGAGTGTACAACCTACCAAATGTGCTCAGTGAGTCTAGAGGCTGGGAGAGTTAAATACCGCCCTGCCCCGTAGGATGGTAATGCCGGGACACACTCCATTCACCGCCTGCTATTGTTGCACGCTCGTCTCTCCAAACTAACCCCCGGTTGCCGCCAACGTCGCATTCCTCGTCCGAGTCGCCGTGGCGCCCGTTTCTTAATTGTCCCGAGGATTCAGCGTCCGCAGCGGGCAGCGCTGGGCCACCCTATGTGTCCAGTGAAGGGGCCCACGGCGACTAATATGTCACACTCTGCACATTCCGTGCCTTGTTAGTTGGTTTACACAGTAGTCCCTTGAGGGTTGGGAGGGGAAGGTGTAGTGTTAGCCGAGGTTCCTATGTGGGTGGGTGAGTGAGTGGCTAGTTCTTTTCCCCTTCTGTCTTCCCCCCTCTTGAGGAGGATGGATGTGATCACATGATCCAGCATTAATTGAAATTCCACTCTCCTGCTGGTTGTTTTCTACCAAGTGTATTTAATATTCAAGAAGTAGTTTTTTCATGGGGTGCCCCCCAAAGAATAATAGCTGAAGTACCATACCCTTTATAAGTGACAATTGAACTAATTTTTTCGTACTTTTGGCACGGAAGTGCGATGAATGACAGACCCACTGACTGTCCTGAATGCCTCGAATATTGCTGGAGAATGCAGAGCAAATAGTACATCCCTTTTTGAAAATGAAAGTTAGTGCCTATACTAAGAACAAACCAACCAACTATAGCTCCAGACCCTCTCGTTTGCCACCGTAATTATTACACGTAACCTATGAGACGTATTCACTCTTTTGCATGATTATGATAATGAACGTTTTGTCGGTGGCCCAGCCAAGTCCTTGCCCGACTTCCCTGAGCTCATCAAATGTTATTGTTTTGACTCGTCAATGTGTTCAAACATGGTCAGGAGCCAAGGTCGATTCTCGGAAAAGCCACTCACCGGTCCAAGTCCGCAGCACCTTGGGGCCATTCAAATTTTTGTTTTGTCTGCTCCCTCACTCTTAATAAGGACTGCTCTAAATAAGGACTGCACTCACGTTGTCACGGAGAAAGGCGTGCGACATGCTCAATGTTTCATTTGTACTTGTAGCCGTTTTGTAGATGTGTGAAAAGTCCTTTTCTTTCGTTTTAGGCTCCCAAAAGGAAGCGACGCGCTCTGTGTGTTAACAAACAGTGCCCGTTTCAGAAGATGTGCAACAAGCTGCGAAAAAAGAGATGTGAAACTCATTCACGACTTTCATTGTAAACTTTGGTGCTCTCGGTATATACACACGCCTTCCCCTCCTTGGAGAAGAACGTTTTTTTTTTTTAAAACGGTTCCTTGTTGACTAACTAATTCTATCTTTGGTGTGTTAACTGTTCTTTGTTGGTCACGAAGTTTCAAATACACAAATATTGCCATCGTGTGTGCCCGTTGCTACGAGCACGCCGTCGGTGGCTTGTGATTTCGTCACCGTCGGAAACCAAAAAAACGCCATGTGTAGAGCGGTGTGACATTGGTATTTTTGATAAAGATGACAATAGATGTGTATTAGCTTGTGTGTTTTTTTAGGTTGCAATTCACGTGGATGCTTTCCCTGTGTATTTTACACCCTCCGTAAATACTGCTTGTTTCTGAAGATTTATATAAGACCAGACTGTGTATTGATGATACTGTACTGAATGTACACAGTTTATATAGTGTCATACATGAATTAATACTGAATGTACACAGTTTATATAGTATCATACATGAAGTAATACTGAATGTATGTAGTTTGTGTGTCTGTCGACTTGCCATGCGGAAATGCTGTGTGTTCTAGCCAATTCGATGTTTGTAGATGATGCAAGATAGCAGTGACGTGACGACGTAACGTGGGGTCTATATTATATAGATCCTAGTGGTGTCTATTATATTTCACTTACAATGGCCCCCACTTGGGAACACTACAACCGAATTACTCTATTTGTATTTACACTACGGCCGGAAACACTCTGTACCTTCACACTCTGAGAGTGTTGTATATGTATGTATGTACGTAGCATGTACCATACATACGTGTGTATATACAGGTGAGTGTTGTGTGTGTGTGTGTGTTGGGTCTGGGGAAGATGTTAGACATGGCGGGTTAGTCCGAGACTGCGGCCAGATTGATTCACAGAAATTGTGATTTTATTGCTGTGGGGATTACGCGGTCAACGCGGCGTGTAACTGGAGAAAATGCCGCAATTTCTCTGTGTCCAGGGGAGCTGCGGACAATTACACAAAGGATCCACGCATGCCTGGCCGTATGTGCATACATACATACATACATACATACATACATACATTCATATATAAATACATACATACATACATACATACATACATACATACATACATACATATATACATATATATATAAATACATGTTTGCAATATGCATTATGGGGACTACTGCATCTCTTTGGGTCTCCCTCCTCCTTTTCTCTCCCTACGTACATCGTAAAACTTTTGAGGGAGAATGGAACATTTTGAGGGAGAATGGTTGAGAATTGAGGGCTCCGAGTTTGTAGAATTCTATACTGCAAGTCTTAGCATGCAGAATTCCCCTGAGACCTCAATGTGCCACGTTCCCTTGAATTGCTCTTTTGCCTCAGCAATTTTATCGCACTCTTGCGGTTTGCGCTGGTGGCACGATTGTTGTTGTGTAAACAGGTCGGCCAAATAAGGCTATCTGATAGTACAGAGCAGGTGGTCCTAGTGCCTGTTACTGCACACGCCAGCGGTTGACCAAAAGGGCTTTGCTTCCTTGGTGAAACAACGAGGCAATGTCACTCTTGCCAAGGGCCTTTTTTGATATTCAAATTTAGTGATTGGGTATCCATTGCTGCAGGCACACCGCGCACTTGGCTTCATTCATCTAGTGGAACTCCTTTGGACGCCATGGGTATCTCCTTAAATAAGCAGAAGATCGTGTATAAAGTATTAGCGCCTAGTATTATAACCCCTATATAAATTCCTATGGACATATGGAAGCTCTGTACATGTGCCTGTGGCTAGTTAAGTGTTAATAACAGAGAACTAAGTAGTAAAACTTCAACCTAAGGCAGCTATAACCGCACACGCATTCCACCTAAGCATGTAGGTCTCTTGTAAGTTTTGTACATGGAATACATGAAAAACTACAAGGAAAACATGAGACCTTGTAATTGCCGCCCTTTCACTCCAACAACTCACATAGACCTTGTTTTTTCTGTATGTCGGGTTAGCTCAATTTTGTTTCGAAATTTGCTCGTCTAAAACAATAGTTATGTCCCCTGGTGAAAACTCATTAGTAACCCAACTGATGCAGTGTGTATGTATGTATATATACCAGAATTCGATTTTAGCGTGGACCCATGATTAATAGTTCAGTCTGGCTTATTGTCCCAAGCATGTACTTAGCTCTGTCTGTTGTAAATGACATCATATTATACTGGCAGTAATTGAGTTAGGGTAACTGTATATGTGCCAGTAGCCCACATTGTGATTCGGCAGTCTTTGCTAGAGTCTCCCGAAGCCAGAAGCGTCCAATATCTGTGTAGTAAACACAAGTCCTTAGACTTCCTAACCAGAATGTATGGGGCAATATGTGTAGTATGGGTGTAGTATATATGGGGGAGTGGGTGGATGTAGAGTGTGTATATACCCTGGGTATTCTTGTGGAAGGAGAGAAACGCACAGTTCTGTGGTTTCTCTTGTTCCTTGCATCCTGTGCTACGTGCGTCACTGGTCTTATATGGAGGCCTTAGTAAACAACATTATATGCATTCACAACGTCGGTGTATGGCTGTGTACATGCCTTTACTGTGGGCATAATGAGGGTGCATACTGTGTCTGTGGTACATACTTAAAATGTACTTTGATAATGGCCGGTGTACATTCCATCTGCATTACCACCTGTTTTTGTTTGTCTTGTTTTTTGACGTTGTTCTTGCAGAGTGAAGTTAGTTTCTGACACCAAGAGGAGGAACACCTGAACCACGTAAAATACCGGAGTTCTGTCACATCTGACGCCGCGTCGAGCGACACCCCTGCCAGTGATAATGGAGAAAAGTCTGTGAAAACGAACGTGTCGGGAACCCCAAAGAATGGCGCGAACTCTGTCACAGAAACTGGAAGTGGGAAAACGCTGCAGAGAGCAGACACTGACACCACTACATCGTCGCAACGGAAGAAGAAAAAGAGTCCGAATAGCGAAACTGCCCCGAAGAGGAATTCGAAAAGGGTTACTAGAAATGAACGTGTTATAATGGGCAGCAGCCGCGAGCGTGGCGCGTTGGACAACGTGACCACCAATGTAATGACTGAGGTCCTCACAACAACAGCTGGAAGGGACCTGTTGGGGCAACACCCAACAGCCGATACTCGGCAAACATCGACTGCTGACACGCCGCGAGGAAAAAGGAATTACGCAAGGAAACGGGAGACGCACACGTGAAAACCGGCAAACTGGTTCGAGCAACTGGTTTCTTTTTCCGTTTGTTGTGTTGTGTGTGTTGGACACATTGTATTGTGAGTGTTACATAATCAAAAGACGACAACAACAACGGTCACACAATGTTTGTGCGTATGTGTATCAATTCAATGACCTATTTGATCATCAAGTATGAATACCCTTCGCTCGCTGCTCGTAGCCTTGTTTACGTGTCCCGCCATCGGATACCCTCACTACTACCAATGAATAGGTCCTATTCCCGGTTGCTGGGGAAACGGTGTGTACCAAGTGGCTCAGTTTCTGAGTGAAAAGTGAGTCGTAGCCAAAACCTCCAAAACCTGTCTCGCCAATGATTCCACTACGGTCGGCCATGATTCAGCTTTGTCCTACGTCTCCATGGATATTATTTTGGAAAGTGGTTGAGGGAGTGGTTTGAATGTCATTACATCAGCTATGTCTCCGCATCGGTTCTCACGATGGTATGTTGAGAAGCGTGGGCCTGTTGTGAACTAGCCACAACAAGCAAGGGGGAGGGAGGGTGGAAGAGAAGGGGAGAGGGGAGATGTGAATTCTATTTTGTTGACTGGGAACTGTTCCTATTGTGGTCTGTTGATGGGTTTCATCTGATATTTTGTTTTGAGAAGGACAGGTTCAGGTATGTCTGCTGTGGGGAGAGTAACAATGGGTGCTGCATACTGCTGTTGTGTTGTGAGTGTGCCTGAAGCTAGGTGTATGTAATGTGTTTTTGTGGTGTGCGTGGAGCTTGTATGATCCATTGTTTGTGAGTACAGTATACAGATATAGTATGTATAATGCTTGGACTGCACTTTATATATAATGCTAAAACGAAAATAATATGGCCTCATCATTGTGCCAAAGATACTCTGAGGGTTCATTATGAGCATGAGTGAGGTGTCTCGTATCAAGAGTAGTGGGAGGACGGCAGAAGGCTTGGTACTTGGACCAATTACCACTCCCAGCGCTGTTATGTACCTGGCCAATTAATCGTATCTCACTTGGCTTTTGTAATGTAGGCAGCCACCACTTGAGGCAGCTACCATTGGGAGCTGTATGGGTGGTGTGGCAGGCTCTGGGCTCAGATGGTGTGGTGGAAGTGGATTATTGTTGTGAAACCACAATGTTTCAGAATGGTTTGTGGTCTGTGGTTTTATATCTTTTGGAATAGTATATACACCTTTGATTGTCCCTCGAAAATAACAGTTTGTGCTTACTCAATGAAACATGCCTATGCCCCAATCCCACATACTTACTCCCAAAGACTATTCCTTCCATAGTTCTCTATATGGGGTGTGAGTGAGAGAATGTGTGAAGAATAGCTTGAGGGGGTATGGGTTTCCATATCAGGCAGTCATCCAGCCGTGGAAGTGTGGTGAAATGCACCATTGCTTCTCAGCCCTTCCACCTGCTTCGGGCCACCCACAAATACAAACAAAATGATCCTACTACTACCATAGGACCTTTCTTCCTGCCTGCCTTCCCTTCTCTAGGCAGTTATTTTTGCCAGATTGCTATTCATCTTTCTATCAAGAGTAAATTCTAAAGCTTCCATCATGCATTTAGTTTCCTACTCTTATTGCCTTTGGGAAAGAAGGTGCATGTAAGACAATGTGAGTGATTTGTAACACTACACGTGAGGGGATATGGGGGGTAATGACATGGCCCATTCTCACATGCACAGTGGCAAGCAAGGCTTGGCTGCAGGTTATGGCTTCTATTGTGGTACTGCTGCGCCTTCTTGGCGCCACACAGAAGCCACTCAGTTGCATAGCGCTATAGCACCTAGTACTGGAGACGTGCTAGTTATCATAGATGTCCGCAAACACCGCAAGCAGTTCAGATTTCACAATGTTCAGTTTGTAAAATTTTTCATCATATTTTTTTTCATTTTCTTTTTGTGAGTATGGATGAAGGGAGATATGCATATGGGGTTCGGGGTATAGAGGGTAGTATAGAAGAATGAGTTGAGATCACAAAAGTGACAGCGCCACAAATGATAATAGCACACATACAAACACAAATCACTGGGCTAAGTGCCCAAGAGGAGACAAGGAGACAGTTACGAGGCGAGTACACAGGGACGAGACGTGAAGTTTACGGGAGAGGGAAGCGACGTGGGGCCGGTGCCTAGGACAAAGGTGTAGTGGTTCTCCACGGGGCTGGCGGAGATGCTGCCGATTCCCGAGTCCGAAGGGCTCGGCCGCAGCGTACACTCGTACTCCAACAGTTGTCCCATGAACGAGAAGTTGGGAGAGATGTCCGACTTGATGTGCTTGACGTGCTCGTAGGCGCTGTCCAGCGTGTGGTTGACGAACTTCATGAGGTAAGCGAGGATAACGGTCACCGAGCGAGACATGCCGGCGTGGCAGTGAACCAGGACTCTCTCGCCGGAGAGACGAGCTCTCTCGATGAAGCCGAACGCCTCGGGGAGGTGCTGGATCATGTTGACGTCGTGCGAGTCTTCCACAGCTATCTGCTTGTAGTTCAACCCGGCCGCGACGAAGTTGTTGGGGATACTGGAAGTGACGTTGAGGACATTATTGATGCCGTTTGCCTTGAGACTCGGGAGGCATGCGGCGACCTTTCTACAGCCGAGGTAGAGATGGGGAAGGATCTGGTACGGGGTGGCGTCTCTCTGAGAGGGGCTGGGTTCGTCCTCGGGCGAGGAAGGGTTCGACGAGTCTTCAGACTCACTCGCGTCGTCCTTGACGCTGAGAGACATGGTGGAGATCTGCAAGAGAAGGCTGCTGGGCCGTCTCTTGAGGAGGGAGTCCTCGGACGAGTCGGGGACGTCGCAGAGAGCGGGGAACCGTGCGAGGAACCCGTCGTAGCCTCCCTGGAGGAACACCACGTGCTTGCAGTCCCGAGAGACCTTCCTCAACATGAGAGAAGCGATGGATTTCTCGGAGAGGGTCTCGGCGTTAGAGGAGTTTTGGTCGTAGACGACGACGCACACGGCCTCCGAGTCTTTCGCCGCCACGTACTTGGCCTTGTCTTCGGCCGTGTTGAGGAGCGACTCGACTTTTAGGCTACCGTTTCTCAGTCGGCGGAGGACAACGCCGACACAGCAGATGTGGACGGACTCTCTGATGCAGCCGCCGGCGTAGTCGTCGGCTGTCCGTGCATCGAGGAGAAGGATCTGGTTGGGGTTGGCGGATGCTAACCAAGCTGGGTCCACATGTTTGACCATGACTGTTGGCAGAAGAGAGAGATGAGTATTGTGCTACTGAAGACTTTGCAAAAGTTAACTTTTGGAGATGGGCCGTCTACTGCGGCCCGAATCTTTTTATATGCAATCGCGCCGAGCCGGCCTAGTGGGCGCGCGCGGACTAATTGGCCAATGAGCAGAATGTGTCACTTCCGTCTCGCGCCAAAATCGGCATTGCGTAATTCTCATTGCGCATGCGCACGCACACCGCACTCGCTGCATGCATGCCGATCTCTCTTCGAGAGTGATCAAGGGATAAAGCTCCGTAAGTCGTTTTTCATCCATTTTCAGGCAAACCATCAGTTATGTATTGTGGGGAAGACGCTCTGTATTGCGTTCGCCGACTCTGTATTTTCCCCGGTAGGGTGGCGGAACAGTGAAACATGGCCAAATCGAAGAACCACACCAACCACAATCAGTGTGAGGAGAAATAGCTGAAAGTCCATGAACTGGGCCACACTTGCCTTTGTTTTACACACTATGTAGACAGTAGCTCTTTGATTAATACATACATACGCTTGCTAAGGCGTGGTGGACTTCAGCTGAAAACTTGTATAGGTGGCATTATTTAGAATTGTCTCCAAATGCAGCCTTCAAGAACCACAGAAACGGGATCAAGAAACCAAAGAAGAATCGTTATCCCGCAATGACAGGGGTAAGTAGTATTTCACCCGTTTACGTAGTTGCTTATTCACTCCACTGTGTGTGTGCAGGTTGACCCAAAGTTCTTGAGGAACATGAGATTTGCCAAGAAGCACAACAAGAAGGGACTGAAGAGACTTAGGAGAGAAGCGAGAAAGATGGACACTGCGTAGACCCATCTTATTGATTTTATTCTCTCTGTTACCATTATTATTGAATGTCTAAAACACCGTATTTAATTTACGGCGTGGAATTTCATCGGCGCATGTGCGTGTGTGGAGTGAAATTAGGCGAGGGCGGGCGGCTGGCCTGGGGTGGGCGTATCTGGAGTCCTGCAGCGCTGCCTGTAGGAAGATGGAGAGGAGACGGAGGGGTAGGTTGAGACATCAGGAAGAAGCGCTGGCGGCCCACGTGGCGGAGCTCAAGACGGATCTGTCCGCCTGCAAAGACTCGCGGGCAGCTGCAAAACTAGCCAGGTGAAGACAACAACAGCTCTTGGTTCTTCTAAACTAATGGAGAATCCTGTAGCCAGAGGCAAATAATGGGGGGAACAAAAGAAGAAGAAATAAGCTCCCAGTCTCTTGTTATAGTGTGTGTGTGTTGTGTGTCTATGTAGCTCTCTGGGAAGGATAAAAAGCCCAGAGGAGTATGCCAGAGACAGACAGAAGGTTCTACAGTCACTGATTCAGGTGAGTCCTGGGTTTGTACGATCATCCAAGCTGCAAGCAGGAACATTTACGTAAGTGGCGCGACAGGAGTGGAGGTATAGAATAATCAGAAACCAATGGAGCATTTCGCCACACTTCACCCACGAGTGAGCTGGTGGCTGTGTGACATACAATCTGCTGCTACTGAGCCTGGAGCTATATCTCTTATATCCCTTGTACTAATTCAAGCCTCTAGCATCTCCCATCCCTCCCATGTTTATATACTGTGTGTATGTGTGTGTGTGTCTGTGTTTGTCTGTGTGTGTGTGTGTTCGTGTTTGTGTACGATTGTGTGTGTGGCATCATCAGCCTGTTGTACTTGCCAGTAATCCTCTCAGTAAACTCTCTGTATACCTCAGTAATCTCATCAGCATACTTAGCAAATGCAAGGTGTGTGCGACAGCCAATGTATTCCGTTTGTATATGTTTGGAGGGATAATTATCATAATATACCCATACTCGTCATTTTTCACTACACACAGCTAAGAGCTATTTCCTTTCAGGCAGTTAGACGTGTAATGTTGCACACATTCAACGGACGTAAATTAGCTAATACTTGGACCGCAAACGCAGCTCTGTGGCGCCTCATTCTGCCAGTCGTTAAGTAACTCAATTATGTCCCTAGTTTCTCACACTCACAGTGTGCAATGCCTTGTATGCCTAAGGACGCTATACATTTATGACTAGTGGAGACGCTACAGTAAAGAGATTGCGGTTGTAGCATTCTATTGGATGGTTGGAGCCCGTCCAAATTCTCTATTGTGGCAAGGTACATGGGCACGTCCTCACTACTACACACTGCCATAGTAAAGAGGGCGGGTATGTACACATCATTATGTCTGTGTATGTAATTACGAGTGGACCAAGTGCATTGATATTCATTTCTTGGCCGTGTACAAATTAGCGTGTGAGAGAGAGAGAGAGAGAGGTTGGGGTCTGTGTTGGGTGGAGGCATCCAGGATGTACGTCAACAGATGAAACAATCTTTTGGTCATCCTCCTCTATACGCTCTGTTGGTGCAGACTGCATGGGCATGCAGCTCCTATTGTCCTATGGGGGAGACAGTGGATATAATACCCACTTCCATTCGTTGAATAAACTGAGCTGATTATACTCATCTCTTATGCAACCTTATTACTATAGAGCCTGTATGTATATTATTGCACGAACCCACATTATAGAAGGCGACAGTGAAGCTATTTGAAGTGTGGGCCTCCTACACGTGTACCTCTTACCTGACACTCCACTGGGAAATACACAGACAGGGAACCTCGCTATGTGAACGTACTTGACGGTGTATCTCTGTACAGCTACATTCACGCGTGTATACGGACATTGTGGAGCTAACACGCGGCCAATTAGCAGCAGAAAGCAGAGAAATCCCCAGTGGGCCAACAGGCTAATGGCACACGGTGTTACGTTTGGCAGCCGCTCAGACTGGGCAACTAGCCAGCCCATCATACACGGCTGTTGACCTGCTGTGAGTAAAGAATGCAATCAAGCATACGCACTTTTCCAGTACTTGGCACCGGTAGCCGAAACATTTTCATTTTCACGATTGAGAAACAATCGGCAATTGTGTTCCCCTAGACGATTCGCCAACGTCGTCGCGTCTGCCGCGGCATTCGTGTTGATGCAGCTGGTACCCCCCTCCAATTGAGTACCAATATCCCTGCACATAGTCCCCCCCTAGGGCAGAGGTAGCGTATGAAGATTGTGTGGTTGTGGCAAAGACAGCCCTATCAAGACTAGCTGTGTCGACCACACAACTCGTTCGATTCTTGAAAAGAGAAGGTTGAGTATATACAGTCGAACCACCCAGAACTCATGTGAACGACCCGTACAAACTTTGTTTTCTCCGCACTGAAGTGGTTCAACAGCAGTCAAACATCCGCTGCACCAATCATTTTCCAAGTGGACACTCGCCGACCAATTGTGCAAAGACGAGCGTCCGTTATCTCAACAGAAATTGCACACTTTTGATGGAAACTCGAGGCGTACATCATACACTTAACTTACATAGCCATAGGCACCGAGCACCTTCTTTGAAGCAGGGAATATATCACATCAGGGGAGACAGCTGTATGTCAACAAATCCTTAAATGTATAGCTCGAGGGCCCTACAATGCAATAAGTGTAATACCTAGAAACGCAATTACTTGCCATTCACGGGACCACAAAGGTATATTAGAGAAGTGTGTGTGGCAATAGAGAGAGAAGTGTGGCAGTAAGTAGCTGATAGATAAATGTTTGTCGCGCACACACAGATACATGCCCGGCAGCGGTATATACACCAAACAGATCTTATTGCGGTCACCTACATATCGACGTACAACAGGACGACAAGTATAAATTATACACGCGTGTATGTTTTTCATGATTGTGTTATGCGAGCACGCACACCGCGGGGTTCTGTTATATTGGATAATGCAGTGTGGTATGTCGTTTGTTGCTGGCTCACTCTGAGTCAATAAGAACCTTGTTACCCTGTATGATGTATGCTTACCGCACTCCCTTGAGAATTAACGCCACGCACACACACCGAGTAAAAATCCTATTTTAGTCCTTTTTCCATTTTAAGGGCTTTCTAATAGGTAAGAGTCATATTACACTCATCATCATAATGCTGCCTACGCAACGATGTATGTGGTGTAAGGCGTCCATTTTTCAATGTGTAATGTAGTCCTAGAGCGTTAGGTTATTATTGTAAGTTACGTACACATACATCTGCTGCGTATATGTTAGTTTTTGCTCCTAGTGTGTGTGTGTGTGTGTGTCTGTCCGTGTGTGTGTGTGTGTGGCGACCTGTTGTTGGTGTAGGTCAATGTGAAACTGTCCACGCACACACTCCCGTGTTAATCTTGGTATCACAGCCTCCGTTTGTGGGTACACACGATCGCAGCCTGTTTGCAAACATTGGAGACACACCCTGTGCGACCTGCACACTGTCTTATGTATGGTGTATGTATGTACGTACATCTTGAACTGTCACCATACTGTAGGTCACACACACACACATTGGGTGAGAGAGAGAGGGAGAGAGAGAGAGAGAGAGAGAGAGAGAGAGAGAGAGAGAGAGAGGGAGGGAGAGAGAATATTTCAGAGTGTGCAGTAGTATTGCGCAACACATTTGTAGTGTGTTTTGGCAACTGCCTACTGATCCCATACTCCCCTTATTGTACTGTGTATGTGCAAAGAAAGGGTTTTGTTGTTTGTTGAGAGAGAGAGAGAGAGAGAAGCGAAGAAACATTATCTAGTGAATCGTGAAATTTCACACGTAATAATTGCCCATTGTTGTGTCAGCAGTATTTTCGGGATGTGAGCCTGCAACATACATATTTTGCGGCAATGTATACTCATATGCAGAAGGTTTGCGTCCGTACTCATGAATTATGCATGAATCATGCTGCCTGGGATGGTGCAAAAAGCTCTGTCATACTCTTATAACTGTTTTATGCGTAACTATTAATATTGGCCGCATGCATTTTTAACTGGCAGTCACGTGACCACTAAGCATCTGCGCCAAATTTTGCTGTAATGTTGTAGCATGTATGTAGCATGCAATGTAGCATACAATGTACTAGTATGTACATGTGTGGTGGTTAGGTGTTGCCAATGGTAATGCACACACCCCTACTAATTATCATGACAATGATGTTAATTGCATTCAGCCACATCTTTTGTCTAAGTCCACAAGGAAAGTGGATTAATGAGTGACCCAACCTAGAACACAGCAATAGTATACAAATCAGGCTAATTAGTCAGGAATGGCATTGTTGTGTATATCCCGGGTGCTGGTAGTGTATGTGTATGTAGGTGGTGGGCAGAGGGGCTCTTATCTTTTTCTCTTTTTCTTTTCTCTTTTATTCTCTTTCTCATCTTCTTTCTTCTTATAGCGGTTTGGGGGCGCGGCCGGGCGGGCGGGCGGCGGCGGCAGCCGGGGGGGGGGGCGGGGAGGGGGGTGGCGCGCGGGCGGGGGGCCGGGGGCGGGCGGGGCGGAGGGCGGGCGCGGCGGGCGGCGGCCGGGGGGGGCGGCGGCGAAGGGGGCGGCGGGAGGCGCGCGTAGCGGCGCGGCGGGCGAGCGAGGGCGAGGGCGGGGCGACGGAGTCGAGAGGGAGGAGGCTGTTGGATGGGAGGTGGTGAGATTGAGGGAGAGGAGGGTGAGCGGAGGAGGAGGGGGAGTATGGGGGAGCGCGAGAGGACGCGGGAGTTGTTTCGAGGAGAGGGGATGAGTAGAGGAGGGGAGGGAGGGAGGGTGGAGGGAGGGAGAGGAGGAAGGCTGTTTTTTTGGGGGCGGGACTGCGAGGTCGCAGCGCGGAGTCGTGGGGAAGCGCGAGGGCGTGTATTCCGGCGGGCGGATGTGTGTGGGGGCGAGGGAGAGAACAGGGCGAGGGCGGCAGGGTGCGGAGCGGCGAAGGACGGCTGTGGGGTCTCGGGGAGGTGTCTTTCTCTACTCGAGTTGTCAGGAGTGAGCAGAGAGACGCGAGGGAGAGGAAAGGAGCTGGAGGGCGAGAGAGAGGGCGGAGTGGGGTAGGTGGGGGGGTAGGGGAGGAGGAGGAGGAGAGGGAACGGAGGGGGCGCGAGGGGGGGGGCGGAGGGAGGGAGAGAGAGGGAGAGGAGAGGGGCGGCGGCGAGCGCGGGGGAGGAGGAGGGGGCAGAGAGGGACGGAGCGGGAGGGGCGCCAGGGGAGAGGCGAGCGGCGAGGGCGAAGAGGAGAGCGGGGGAGGGAGGGCGGAGCGCGAGGAGGCGGAAGGGAGAGGGGGGGGCGGAGGGAGAAGGAGGGGGGTGGGGAGGAGGAGCGAGGGCGGGAGGGGGGGGGCATGCCGCGAGGGACGGGTGGGGGAGGAGGGAGAGGGAGTAGAAGGGCGGGAGCGGGGCTCGGACGGCCTGGTGTGCGTCCGCTTTTTTTTTTTTTCCAGGCGGAGGGCGAGGAGGAGGAGGAAGGGGGGCGAGGCGGGCGTGCGGTGAGAGCGGCGGCGAGGGCT